AATGGATAAGTAGATTTTAAGATTTTTTTTCGCAGCTTATACTCTTTTCTAACACTTCAAGCAAAAATAGACCTTTAACAGTTATTGTCACCTATATAGTTGATAATAAAGCCTTCCCCCTTGCCGAAGACAAGCCCCGCCGGGTCAGAATGGAAGGTCACAGTCAGATCAGGGGTCGTTGAGGAAAGCTTGAAGGGGCTGCTGCCTCCAACATAGCGTCCCAGAATACGAGTTGTGACCTCATCTCCATCGGTGATCGTCAGCATGTCACTGTCACTGATGTTGAGTCTGAAGACAAGGAGGAAGGGAAAGAAATACTGCAGTATAGCTAATGATATCAGTTCAAGATGAGTTATAATGATTCAGAACACATTTGTACAAACATCTGACTGTGTGGGAGACAAAATGACATCAAAGTCTAAATGCTGCATTCATTCACAGGAGTATGTAAGCATGACTGCACTGTTTTTGCCCAAGACACGTTTGATTGATCACACCACAGTGGCTTTGAAAAGATGTAGTTTGCAAGACTTTGAATACTGAAATATCTAAAAATATTATATGGCATACCAAAACAAGTGTAGCTGGAACAAAGCTGCCAGAGAGTTTAATTAAACTTGTCAAGGCCCTTTTTATATAATTGAAAATTGTATAATGATTTAATTTAAATAAAACAATAGTAAAGCCTTACTTAAGGTGAGTTATTTACTTTAAAATTAATTTCACGATAGTGCTTTTGGACTGTGGGTGAGTTACAGATATTCCTTTAACTCGAGCAGGTATCAACTCATTGTTAATATCAATACTTATATACAAATTGAAAGGAGTAGTTTCTGGTTTTTGAGTGGATGTTTTTTTGTCAACAGTTACATGACCAAACTGAAACCGCTCACATTTCTGTGTGTTAGAACATGAAGTGAAAACTAAACATTGATTATCTTAAGCTGCATCCACACTGGAAACAGTTCACTCACTGCACAGCACTTTGATGTTGATGGCTGCTCACTTGCATCCAGGCTTTAGTTGCCTAGGTGATTCACTAGTGTATTTACTACCAGGTCATATGTCAATCAACATTATTCTTCCCTCTCATAGAGGGAATCTTCGAAGTTGAGAAAAGTTAGCTTGGGTCTCTCCCACCTCATGTTGCCAGCAGTTATTTTGCCTGTAGTCGCTTGAAATCACTGAATGCTACTTTGTGCGGCCTGTGGTTAACACATCGCTGCAAATCACTTCTAATGTGCACACTGTAAAATCATGTACAATATATACTTTTTTACTTGTTTTTCCCAAGTTATTGTTAGCTGTAGGAAAAATCTTCATTTGGCCAAGCTTGTGCACACAAACAACAAATTTGTTTTGGTTCACTTTGCTGTCTTTGTGGAAAAAAAAAAAGAAATGCTTTGTTGAATAGGTAGTATAAATTTACTACAGTTTACTCTCTGTTTTAAGTGAAGTTAACTTAAAGCATCAGAGAGCAGGATTATTACCATTTTGGAGGATCATGTTCTCTTTTGAAACAATTAAAAAAAAAACTTGTAATCAGTGTGTTTAAATTTGTTTCTCAGTAAAGCTGACAGCATTTAATGTTTGTTAAAGTTAACTTGCTGTTACTAAATTACTTAGTTAACAGTTGCTGCACAGTTAGACTGTTAACAGATTACTTTTCTGGGTAGATGTCATGGGCCTGGATTTGGCAGAAAAGACTAGCTGTTCTTACCACTGTCCATATTTAACCTATTTTTGCAGAAAATAGAAAGTCAGAAAGTTTAAAGCTTGCTTTCTGCTTCCCTGAAGTTGACAGAATTCGGTGTGGCAGAGGTCTATACTATGAAGCAGGATTTTGGATTTAAAATGTTTTTTCTTTATTTTCATGACTATTTACATTGTAGATTCTTACTGAAGGCATCGAAACTTTAATGAACATATGAAACATTGTAGTAAACAAAAAACTGTGAAATAATTCCGCCTCCTTCAGAAGTCTATGCAAGGGTGCTGGAAAAGAGAGTTCGTCCGCTCGGATACAGGAGGAACAATGCGGTTTTTGTCCTGGTTGTGGAACACTGGACCAGCTCTTTATCCTCTCAAGGATACTTGAGGGTGCATGGGAGTTTGCCCAACCAGTCTACATGTGTTTTGTGGACTTGGAGAAGGCATTTGACCGTGTCCCTCGGGGTGTCCTGTGGGAGGTGCTGCGGGAGTATGGGGTGTCTGGCCCATTGCTAAGGGCCATTCGATCCCTATACAACCGTTGCAAGAGCTTGGTTCGCATTGCCGGAATAAGTCGGACTCGTTCCCGGTGGGTGATGGGCTCCGCCAGGGCTGCCCTTTGTCACCGATTCTGTTCATAATTTTTATGGACAAGATTTCTAGGCGCAGCCAAGTGGCGGAGGGCTTTCACTTCAGTGGCCTCAGAATCTCATCTCTGCTTTTCGCGGATGATGTGGTTCTGTTGGCTTCATCGGGTGATGGCCTCCAGCTTGCACTGGAACGGTTCGCAGCCGAGTGTGAAGCAGCGGGAATGAGGATCAGCACCTCCAAATCTGAGGCCATGGTTCTCAGCCGGAAAAGGGTGGAGTGCCCACTCCGGGTCGGGGATGAGTTCCTGCCCCAAGTGGAGGAGTTCAAGTACCTCGGGGTCTTGTTAGTGAGTGATGGGAGAAGGGAGCCGGAGATCGACAGATGGATTGGTGCTGCGGCCACAGTGATGCGGACGCTGCACCGGTCCGTCGTGGTGAAGAGGGAGCTGAGTGTAAAAGCGAAGCTCTTTATTTACCGGTCGATTTACGTCCCTACCCTCACCTATGGCCACGAGCTGTGGGTAGTGACCGTAAGAACGAGATCACGGATACAAGCGGCAGAAATGAGCTTCCTCCGAAGGGTGGCTGGCCTCTCCCTTAGAGATAGGCTAAGGGAGATAGGCGGCTCTACTCTGAGCCCCGGGAGGGGCTCCTCCACATCGAAAGGAGCCAGCTGAGGTGGTTTGGGCATCTGACAAGGATGCCTCCTGGGCGCCTCCTGGGGTTGGTGTTTCGGACATGTCCCACCGGGAGGAGGCCCCGGGACAGACCCAGGACACGCTGGAGAGATTATATCTCTCGGCTGGCCTGGGAACACCTTGGGGTTCCCCCGGATAAGCTGGAGGAGGTGGCTGGGGAGAGGGAGGTCTGGGCTTCTCTGCTTAGGCTGCTGCCCCCGCGACCCGGCCCCGGATAAAGCGGATGAAGATGGATGGATAATTCAAAACATGTTTTATATTTTAGATTCTTCAAAATAACCACCCTTTGCTTTGATTGCTGCTTTGTACACTCTTGGCATTCTCTCGATGGCCCGCATGAGGTATTCACCTGAAATCATTTTTCAAAAGTCAACAGTCTTGAAATAGTGCTGAGCACTTACTGGCCCCTTTGCCTTCACTCTGTGGTCCATCTCGTCCTAAACCATCTCGATTGGGTTTAGGTCAGGTGACTGTGGAGGCCAGGCCATCTGGCGCAATCACTGTCCTTCTTGGTCAGTTAGCCCTTACACTGCCTGGAGGTGTATTTTGGGTCATTGTCTTGTTAAAATTAAATGACGTTCCAACTAAATGCAAACCAGATGGGACGGCATGTTGCTGCAGGATGCTGTGGTAGACATCCTGTTTCAGTGTGCCTTCAATTTTGAATAAATCCTTCTCCATGCTTCACAGTGGGAACCATGCACATAGAGACAATCCATTCACCTTTTCTGCACTGCACAAAGACATCACGGGTGGAACCAAAGATCTCAAATTTGGACTCATTAGACTCTTCTAATGTCCATTCTTTGTGTTTCTAGGAGCACATATATCTCTTCTGCTTTTTGCTTTTCCTTAGTAGTAGTTTCTTAGCAGCTGTTTGACCAAAAAGGCTGTTTTACACAGTCTCCTCTGAACAGTTGATGTAGAGATCTGTCTGCTGCTGGATCTCCCTGTTGCATTTATCTGGGCTCTAATCTGAGGTGCTGTTAACTTGCCTTTTCTGGGGTGGTGACGCAGATGAATTTATGCTCAGCAGCAGAGGTGACCTCTCTTCACCATACTGTACCTGGCCTCCCACTGTGACAATTTCCTGATGATGTATACAGCTGGACAGTTGACACCCCTTTACCTGATGGGACAAAATGGCCCCCGGCCCTTTGTTCAAAGTGTCCGTCTGCAGAATAAAAGGTAGGGAGAAGTTAGGAGTGTAGAGCAGGGGTTCCCAACAGAGAGCTTTCTTTACCTGCACCCTTTCAGGTGAGATCAGTCAAGGGTTGGTCAGGTCCGCCAAGCCTGGCATGAACTGGAGGTAGTAACCAGCCAGCCCCAAGGACCCCCTCAACCCTTTTATGGTCTTGGGACAGAATTCGACAGTTGCTGTTTCATCCATCTGTGGATGCACCTGCCTTCATCCAAAGAATACCTCAAATACTGTACCTCCCTTTGTCCAACCACACACTTCTTCGTGTTGGCCATGAGCCCTGCCCTGGAATGTGGCTGGGAACAAGCCAAACAGAAGTGGTAGAAACCGTACGGAGTGGAGAAGGCTGTTTTTTCTTTGAACTCTGCAGACAAGGGTATCTGCCAGAAGCCCTTGGTTAAACCTAGTGCTCACTCCACTGTTCATGGTCGAGGAGCTCATCGACCTGGGGCATTGGTTAGGCACCATCCTGTGACACCTCATTTACCTTTCGGTAGTCGGCACAGAACTGTACAGAGTAGTCCTGTGTTGATTGCCTGTTATATGTAGCACCATGGTCTTGGAGGAACGCTGTCTTGTTTCACTGTGTACTGTACCACTGCACATGGTTAAAATGACAATAAAGCCACTTGACTTGACTTGAGAACCAATTTTTCTTCTCCACAAGAAGTAATTAACTTTGATATAGAAGAAGGGAGCAATACAAGTACTTTATCTCCTGGTGAAAGATGCCTGAGTTTGTCCCCTCTGTTGTACAGATGCTCCTAACATTCCTGGGCCTGGAGAAAATTTCCCTTGTATTTAATTTGCAGCAGATATTCGTGGATGTCCCCATGCACACACCTAACCTCCACCCTCTCTGCCTCCAAAAAAGTTAAAGACAAAAGTTAGGTATGGTTGCGTCAAACTTTGGAAGAGAGCAGAACTCCAAAAGTTGATTCTGTTCATCTGGACGTAGCGTTTTGTGGGAGAAACATTTCGTCACTCATCCAAGTGACTTCTTCAGTCTCAGCTGACTGCAGGTTTCCCCATCCTTATAAACAGTACATTTGCATTATTAAGATAAAGGAACTGACCTCCCAGCCCATTGTTCCTTCAGTGGGCTGGTTTCAGTCATTATGCAAATGTACTGTTTATAAGGATGGGGAAACCTGCAGTCAGCTGAGACTGAAGAAGTCACTTTGATGAGTGACGAAACGTTTCTCCCACAAAACACTACATCCAGATGAACAGAATCAACTTTTGGGGATTTACTTACCTGGATGATTGAGCATGTATCAAGACGAAGAGAGCAGAAGTTTTAATGTGCATGAGTGTGTATGTATGTGTGTTGGTGTTTTTCCTCACAGTTGTACATCAAGCAGCACTCGCTTGTCCTCGCCAACATGTATCCTCCAGCTGCAGTCCTCTCCTTCTCCATACCATTCTGGCCAGTTTGGAGACAAAATTAACCCTCCTGGACCCGACAAATCACCTCCACACTGTGCTGCAGAGGAAAGGTGGAGGACATATGGCAGAAGAAAATGTGAGAGTTCCTGTTTTGAGAACTAGAATTACTAAACAACTATGTCTTTTCTGTCTATGTATTTTTTAGTCATATATAATTCATGTCCAGGAATGAAGACACACACACACACACACACACACACACACAATTAAAATTGCTTAAAATCTAAAAATTACATTTTATAAGTTTTTCATTATTCAATTCAATTCAATTCAATTTTATTTATATAGCGCCAAATCACAACAAATGTCGCCTCAAGGCGCATTATCTGCTCTGAGACTAAGCTCATTATTTTAAAGTTTTCTTTTGTAATGAAGTTCAGTGCAGTAAGTGGTCAAAGCAGATTTTGATTCAAGAATTGAAATCATATGTGGCAGAAAACAAAGTGTGTTAGCCTGGGTTACATGTCAAATGGATAAAAAATACCACCTCTAGTTATTGTAATAATATCCGAATGACAAATTTATTATTTTACACCTACTCATGAATAGGTGGATAAAACAGGTTGAAATAAGGTTATGTAGTTAAGGAGCTCTGTTGAATCTGACGTGAAAGGCATTTTGACAGAACCCTGAAAAATAGAACATTTATGGTCTTATCCTAATCTGTCATGAAGCCTCCTCTTCATATAATGAAGGGCAAAGAGGTACAAATACTTTGCATTTCAGTACGATACTCCGCTTTATTCTTTTTGTTCTTGTACAACTCGGGTTTTTTGTAGAACATTTTTACCTTTGCACAGAGGCTCAGTGTCATTCCAGTATGGATCTCTGGCACTGATGCATTCAATCACAGGGGGACCTTGCTCTAAGGAGTGGCCTGGATCACAAGTAAACTGAACCACTGTTCCAACTCCATACAGAGGGTCGGAGGTGGTGAAGTTTCCATTCTGAAGATATGGCTCGTAACAGTGGCCGCGTTCGAAAGCTGAAAGAGAAAATAGAAAGCTCTATAAAATGAATACCAAAATGTTTATGCTTTTTTGACTGTGATTTTTCCTGACACATCACCTCCAATTTACCATAACTAAATGTCAAATGATGTATAGTTTTTGCATTAATTATCTGTTAAACCACACATTTATAATAAATTGTATAGAGATTATTCTTTGGTTGTTTTCTTCTCTTCATTGATACTGACAAACATTTTGAAGGGTATTTTTCCATCCTCTGGCTATTTGAGACTGCCAAAAACAACTAACATGCTGGCTAATATAATGATTAAGAACCTGCTCGCTTCCTGGCAATCTATTAAAAATCTGATTAACAGTCCATCTGCAAAAATAAACACTGGTCTTTTTTACCAGTGGTCTTCTGTTTGCTTACATAATTATGCATTAATTATAAATATAATTGTTTGAACTGCTCTCCAAGAATGTAGTTCATGTTTAATTTTTGTGCTCAACTGGATCTACAGTGGCTTCTGCACCTTCATAGCGGATATTGAATCCTGTGTTGTGGTTGGGCTGATCCGTGATGAACTGGATTCTTACAGCTGGACCTTCGCTGATCACTCCTTCAAAGGGTATCTGACCCCCCCGACCTGAATCAAACAGCACCACAGAGCCAGCGTCCAGCCCACTCCACAACACCAACCTAAGGCGATACGGAGATGGTGTCAATGAACGGATTAGTGGTGTGTGATAATACAAAATTTATTACCAATTAAATACAGTGCCAGTACTGCTGATATCAAGAACAGATATCTGATCATTTTTATTGCTGTACATCTTTGTATCTTTTGTGATAATTACTGATAATTACCAGTGGTAATTGTTTAGTTTGAGATCTTTCTGCAACTCTGTGCGGTCTTTTCTGGTTTTAGTCATTTTGCATCTGACCCTTAGGGCCTTTGGAGCTGTACCTGATATGCCTATTCAGATATTCCTCCATACAATATGGTTGCTTTTACCTGTCAGTTGGTCCCAAGGCCAGTCTCTCCAGGTGGAGATGCAGCCTCTGGTCTTTGGGTGCTTCAAGGGACCAGGAGCAGGAGCGATCCAAGGTGGCATTAGGGCCATGATGGGGAGATGGGGAGAGCACTCGTCCCACTGTAGCATTCTTTACTGTTCCCCCACAAAGAGCTGAAGAGCAGAACACTCAATTTGAATTTGTTAGTGGAGTATCTTTCACAAAAAGTGAAATGAAGTATCCTTTTTGCTACAGAATTTTAAGAAAAACTGTAAAGAAACCGTTCTATACACACTCACCCCTGCACACAGGCTCCTTATCACTCCAAACTGGCAAGGAGGCATTAAGGCAGGTAAGCAGTGGTTCCCCACGCAGGTGGTAACCCATGTGGCAGTGAAAGCGCGCAGTCCCTCCAGGGAGCAGGTCCAGTACAGATACATCTCCGAAATGAGGTCTCTTTGGCAGGGAGCAACTCAGCCTGAAGACTACACGAGGATAGAGGAATGTGAAGTAAGTGAGTACTAATACAATAACATTAGGTTAGTTCAGACAAGTACGATGAGACAAGGTGTATCCTTTTGC